CCCCCCCCCCTCCCCCCCTCCACCCCGCCACTCCTCTCCGCTCGCACCCATGTCCGTAGCCTTCCCTCCGCCAGGCCTTTCGCTCGACGAGGCACTTTTCTACGGCTCGACTCGTGTGGCCTTTGCCTCTACCTCTGGCACTGTCCACGGCTTTGAGCCATCTGCCCTGTCTGAGTCATCGTCACCTGCTGCTGTCGCTTCTGCTGCCGCCCGAACAGAGCCGCTGGGCCATCTTGGTCCGGCCTACGCCTCGCTGGTGGTGCCCGCCATTCCTGCGCCGGATATCGATGTTGAGAAAGGGCCAACGGCATGTCATGAGCTCCCGCAACTGCTGCGGGAGCTTCCACTGGTCAAGGTCCCCATCACAGCCGATGATGGTGGGCAGATCGTGGTGGCTGGTGACGGAGATGTCGATGGTACTGGCCCGCTGGCTGTGGCCTCGGGCATTCGTTCGGCGCTAGTGCGGGTCGCCGGCGAGTGGTTCCGCCTCAAGGGTTGCGGGAACAACGACGAGGGCTTTGTCATCCGCGAAGTCGAGACCGATGACGGCCGCGAGCGCGGCCTGGTCAACATCCGCGGGAGTTCGTTCGAGCACACCACAATTCGGGAGATGCTGATGACGCACAAGATCGAAGCGGTTGCTACAGAGATTGGCATGCTTTCGGCCAATGCGCCCCGCGGGTGGTATGTATACGAGCTCGCCGACGATCCGTTCCCGCTGGTGGCCAAGGTGTGCTCGGTCTTTGCCACCCGCGGCGACCGCCGGCTCGCTGACCACGTCCTTGTCGGCCTCGAGCGCATGCTGGGAGCCGGTCTCTCTGCCGATACTGGCCTTGCTGCGCTTGCTGCGCTCGCCGCTGCTGGCCGCGCTGAGTCGGCATCCGATGTCACTACGGACATCACGCCGACCTTTATCCAGGCACTGATGGGCGCGACCGGCTTTGTTGCGGGCGTCGGGCCGGATGCACCAGAGCTTGGCGAGCTTGATCTTGCGGCGCTTGTCGCTGCCTCGCCGCATCCAGCGCTTGCTGAGCGCATCATGCCCGAGCTGGTCGCATCCGGAGCGCTCTTGCCGTACCTGTATTGGCGGTTTGGATGGGAGTGCGGCGTATTTCTGGCGGCACTGCATCGCGCGGGCATTTCGTGGGGCACGTACCCGGACGCCATGGGCATGCACTGCAACGCCCACTCGAACAATATGGTCCTTCTTGCGCCTGCCCAGCACGCGGTCTCTCCCGGCGCCTTCTTCCTCGCCCCTCTCGACTTTGACATGGCGTACTCGTCGGCCTCGCACGCCTTTGACTCGGACGATCGCATGGCCGAGTATCTGGTTCTTGAGCGTAATGGCATGCTCATGGCGCTTGCCGGCGACGAGCAGCTCTCCACCGGCGTCACTGGCTCCGCCGTCGTCGATTCGGCCTTTGCCCCGCTCGCCGTTGTTCTTCGCGACACTGCCGCCGCTGCATTCACCGCTGGCTACGACGGCGGCAATGATCTCGCTCCCTACGATCCCGCCCTCACCACCTCGGCCTACGCCCTCATCAAGCTCGCGCTCCTCCACACCGCCACCGACATCGCCTGACGCCAACAAAACGCGCACCTCCAGCTCGGCGGGCTCTACATCAAGGTAGCGCCTCGGTTCCATATTCACACCCATGTCCAAACAGATCTACCCGAATGACAGGTAGCACAGGGCGCAGCTATTCATGTCTGCACCCGAGCCTGCAGTGGCAGTGATGGTGCTGGTGACAATGCTGGTGACGATGATGATGAAGTTGAACGTAGAAGAAGCGCATGGTTGACCGAGCTATTTACCACCGCAGCAATGTCGAGGTCAAAAGGGCGTCCCTCATCGCCCGCCGCTGATCAAAGCTGCCCGCCCCCACCGAACTGCAGTCGACTGCCGCCCACCTGCCGTAACTGAACGCGACATGCGCGCACGCCACACGCCAGACACCACGCCAGCGACATACCCCCCCCCCGCGCGCCTCAACATCCCCACGTACACCCCTCTCCATCACCCATATCCTATCCCCCACGGGAGCATCTGCTCATCACCATGGCCACTACGCCCATGACCATGCCGACGTCGGCAAGACCGGCAAGCACCAGCACAACGACGGCTGCCGCCAGCTCGACCACGACGGCCGGCAGCAGGGACATGTCCAACCTCCGCTTCCGCGACCTCGATCTGACCAAGTTCTACACGCTCATGCCGCTGGGCTCTGCCACCATCCGGTTGGTGGTCTATCCGGCGCAACTGGTCAAGACCCGCATGCAAGCTGGTGCCAGCTACAAGTCGACGGCCGATGCCTTTGCCACCATTGTGCGGAGGGAAGGGTTCCGGGCTCTGTACTCGGGCTTCTTCACCAACTCGCTCTCCATGATTGTTGGGCCCATCTATGTCACCACTCTCGAGACTACAAGAGAAGCTGTCCTCACCGCAAACGATGAGGCTTCGTTCATTCCCCCGAGCCTTCTCCGCCCGGTCTCTTTCATGATCTCGGGCCTCGCCGCATCGCTGGTCTCGCAGACCGTGGTTGTTCCCATTGACATTGTCAGCCAGCGGATCATGGTTGACGAGTCGCGCGCTGCCTCGCCGGTTGCTGTCGCGCGTTCTATCGTGAATGATCACGGGCTTCGCGGCCTCTACCGCGGCTATCTCTCGTCCATCGCCACCTACGCCCCGACCTCGGCCGCCATCTGGAGCGTGTACGCGCTCGCGCGGACGGTCCTCGACCCCGCGCCGCCGCTCAAACCAGGCGATCCGTGGCCGCGCCACTGGCGCGATGTGGCTGTTGTTCCGCTCAGCGGTGCCATTGCCGGCGCCTCGGCGGCCGTGTTGACCAACCCCATCGACGTTGTCCGCACCAACATGCAGCTCTCGGACGCAGCCACAGTCTCGATGCGCGAGACGGCTGCCACCCTGTTCCGTGACGCAGGCCTCGCTGGCTTTTACCGTGGCGTCCTCGCCCGCGTCCTTGCCATGTCAGTCACCATGACCATGGTCCTCTCGTCGTACGAGTTGCTCAAGCGGGTCTCGGTTCGCCTCGACGACAACGACGACGCCGGCGGCGCCGACGTCATCGCCAGCTAGCGGACGTGCCAAAGTCTGCCGAGTTGTTTATGCCATCACTATGTGGGCGCTCTGCTTCACAAAAGCCAGATGTTGTCAAACGCGACCTCGCTGGTCAGGCTGCAGCGCTCGGGGTAGTCGCCAGTCTTGCGCTCCTCCCACGTCGGCGGGTCGACGCGGCAGTTGAGGCGAGCGCCGGGCTGAACCTGGCCGTCGCCGCGGAGGTACCTGTTCTTCACCTCGTTGTTGTTGAACGACCCGCGGCGGTACTCACAGCAAAGGAGCTTGGCGGCGGCCTCGGCGACATCGGTCGGGTAGAGGTGCCACGGGCGAACGAGCGACGCGAAGATAGAGCCAGTGAACTTGCGGTACTCAACGCGCTCCGTGAGGCAGTTGAGCGAGGGCTTGTCCGCTGCCTGGCACGCGTAGTGGGTTCCGCCGGTGCACTTGCACTCTGCGTTAGGACCGCAAATGGTGCTTGACACGCACTGCAAGCCGCGGACGTTCATGCAACGGGCAACGGTCGGTGAGCCGACGCACTTGTAGCCCATCTGGCACTGCGTGTGGCCAAACGGACACGGCGAGCCCTGGCCTCCCGAGTACGGCCGGTCGATGCAGGTCCTGTACCCGAGGGTGCCCACTGCACAGAGCCCCGACTTGCACGCGTAGTTGTCGGTGCAGTTGGCGCCGCCTTCGAGCTGCAGCGCGGCAATGCACAAGTTGGAGTCGGTATCGCACACACCCGAGATGCAGTCGCTGGGGTCGCGGCAGTAGCCATTGACCGGGCGCCGCGAGAGGCACTGCCGGGCGACTGATGGTGGCGCCTCTTCCACCACACACGCGAGGGAGTTGGGGCAGGTACCGTCAAAGGCCGACGCACACGAGCTACCGGACGTCGACGTGGTCACGCACACGTTGTTCTCACAGTTGCCCCGGCACTGGGCATTTGTATCGCACGGTGCTCCAGGCGGGAGATTGTTCCACACGCATCGGTTCTCCACAACCGTCCTGTTTGCCATAAAGTCGCAGTACGTGTACGGGTTGCTGCACCCGCTGGTCAACGAATTGTCGCAGATGCACCCGGGCCCAGCCAAGCCCCGCCACCGCTCGCACCGCTGGGACCTGCACGCAAGCGACGACCGGCACTTTCCGCGGCAATCATCGCCGTTGTCATCGCAGAGCGAGCCAAGGTTGAGGTCGAACTGATCTTCCGCCACACACCGGCCTGTCCCATCACCGCCCGTGTTGCATTGAAACTGCTGTGAGTGGGCTCGTCCATGGCGGGCACCGGCATGGCAAAGAGCCGGCAAGGTTGCGACGGCTGCGACGGCGCTCCCACGCGGCCGGCAACTTTTGCCAAGCATCAGAAAAAGGCCGCAGAACACCGAGCGAGAACAGGAGCTGGCGCGCAAGGTGCTGCGGTGGCGGGAAGAACGGAGGGGGGGGAGCGGGCGCGGAGGGGGAGGGAGCGGGCGCGGAGGGGGAGGGGGTACGCCTGGGGGAGGGCTGGGCGTGTGTTCTTCGTGGCGGCAAGCCGCCTGATCGCAACGCCGACCAGCCGTTGCTCACCGCAAGCACGGCTACGTACCGTTGCAGCATCTGTCACTGCGACTCGTATCGCAGTCGGAGTCATCAGAGCAGCGGCGTTCGGAAGAACACGAACCGGCCGAAGCGACGGCGTCTGCCACGCTGGCCAGCAGCAGGCAGGCCAGAGCAAGCACCACGAGAGTGCGGACCGAGTTCATGGTCGCGAGGTGTGTTACGAATTGAAGGTTGGAACCCAGAACTTGGCGAATGGAAGCGTGGGGCACGGCGAAGGTAGCCACTCGTTCGTTGCCGCCAACAATCCATCTCGTCCAAGTAATCGCTGCAACCACCGCCAACGATTCATCTCGACACAGTTATCGTTGCACCCCCCCCCCCCCGCCCGCTCCCCTACCTCACTCCCGCCATGCAACTCGCCCGATCCGAGTCAGATGCCCTCCTCACACATCTGAACGGCTCCAGTAGTCTCGGCAGGTTTGGCATCGGCAGCCTACTCGACGATGAGCTGCAGCTCCTCTCGCCGACCCACCGTAGCGCCTTTCACCGGGCTGCCGACGCGGCCTGCTCGGGCTCACTCACTGTCGCCGCAGTCAACCTCTCCGCCCTCGTCAAGGCCCTCCCGCACTCGCTCGTCCTTCGCCTCGCCGCTGCAAACGTGGCGCTCGCCAACGGCCTGCTTCCGCTCACACTTGCGCACCTCGACGCCGCCCTCGAGCTCACAGACGACCCCCACGCCGTTGGCCCTGGCCTCCTCGCTCCGGCCTCACCCGCATCGGGCCTCGCCCCAGACTCGCTCGCCCTCGTCCGTTTGCCGCGGATATATGCCGCGCTTGCCGCAGAGCTTGGCCCCCAGCCAGAGATTCTGTTCTACATGGCCAACACAGCCAAGCTCGCCGGCGACCTCGCAGGCTTCCTCGCCTGGCTCCGACTCTTGGCACACGCCGATCCACACTTCCTGGAGCGCCACGTCGCCGGTCACCACTGGAGTGCCTTTGATGCCGCCTCGTACTCGTGGTCCCAGCCCGCAGTCGTCGCAGCGGCCGCCAAGCTTGTCGATGCACGCCCCGAACCTTTGGCGTTGCCTACCTGGCGTTTCTGGACCACGTCATCGCCCACACCGACCCACACGCCCTCGCCGCTCTCACCTGGAACCTCCACGCCGTACATCATCTCCTTGCTGCAAACCGGGTTGACGACGCGGCGCGCTCACTCGCGGCCGTCGACGATCTCATATCCGACGATCCGCCACGCGACCTTGCAATCCTCCTCCAGGCCGCTCACGCCGCGCTCGCCGTCGCTCGCTACGACCGCCCGACCGCAGCACTCGCCGCAGACGCCATAGCCGCACTGAGCGGCGTGGCTCCGGATGAGTACGCACCGCAACCGGAGCTGCCTCCCATCGGCCGGCCGGCTCATCTTGCCACTCGCAAGGGCGTCACCGCCTTTGCCCTCGTCCCTGCTCGAGTCGCCGCCCTCGCCGACCACGCCAAGGCTGCTGCCACAATCGAGCTTATGGTCAACACGGCGGTGCACACAACGCGCGCCGTAGTGCACGTGGCCCAGGCCGCCGCCCTTGTTCTTGCCGGTGCATCGGCCCGCGCCCGTCTCGCACTCGCCGCCGCCCTCAGCGCCGTTCCGCAGCGCCATGATGCCCTTCTCCTCTGGGCAAGACTGCACCTCATCGATGACTGCGTCGCCGCCGCTCTTCCGGTCCTCGCTCGTGTAGCCGGAATCATCCATGAGCCTGAGCCTCAGCCTCAGCCCGAGCCTCAGCCTGAGTCTCAGCAGTCTGACGCACGTGCCACCGCTGACTTTCTTGCTGTACTTGCATCCATCCAGGCTGGTGATGCCTGCTCGGCTTATCACACGCTCCAACTCCTCCACAAGCGCCAGCCATCGTGGCGCCTGCCGCAGTCGGCACGTATTTCTCAGCTCGCTGCCAAATTGCCTGCCGTCCCTCTCGCTGCGCTTGGCGACGCGCTCTACGCCCGCGGTTGCTGGTTTGAGGAAACCACCGGTGATGCCAGTCAGGCCTTTGTTGATATGGCACGTGCTCTCGACGTCCACCCCACCCCTGAACGCTATCTTCACGCGGCGCGCTTGCTGCTGCGGATCGATGCCCCGCGCGAGTCGGCCGCCGCCCTCCTGACATCCGCAATCGACCTGGAGCCTCACTCTGCCAACGTTGAGGCTCTCTATCTCCGCGGCCACCTGTACTCGATATCGGGCCCTGCCAAGCGAGTGGCTGCCATTGCCGACTTTTCTGCCGCCCTCGAAGCCTCTCCGCGCCATGTTCATGCTCTCCATGCCCGCGCCCGTCTCTATCTCGAAGCGTCAGACATTGATGCTGCAATCAACGATCTCCTTGTGGCTCGACAAGTCCATCTCGGTCGCGACCCGGGAAGCCCGATTCTCCCGGGCACGGCCAAGGCCCTCCTCCTCCTCGCCACCCTCCTCATCAAGGTCGACGCCGCGGACGAGGCCCTCAAAGTCCTCATCGACGCCGCACATCTTCCGCACCTACCGGTCAACGACCACATCGCCATCCTGGTCACTTCGGCCAAATGCCACCTCGCCGTCGCAACCGATGACGACCTCGACGCCATCGACGTCGCCGTAAGTGATGCCAGTCACGCACTGGAGCTTCTGGACATGCTCGGCGCCCCGGCCGGGGATCGCGAGCGTTGCCGCGCTCTGTTTACCAGAGCGCGTGCGTATGCCGTCGCCAGCCGCGAGCGCGACGCTCTCGTGGACCTCACCGCCGTCGCACTCGCCAATCCCTCGTTCCCGCTCGTCTATGTCGTCCTCGGCAATACCGCACTTGCACTCGGCATGATCGATGAAGCCATGTCGTACTTTGACGCCGCTCTCGCCCGCAAACCCGACGAAGTCGCGGCCCTCTACCAGCGGGCCCGGCTGCATGCCGCTGCTGGCCGCTACCGGCTCGCGCAGCGCGACCTCACCCGCGCGCTCATCTCAGCACCTGACCACGCCGATCATGGCGCACTCTTTCTTCGTGCCTGCGTAGCCGACAATCTCGGCCAGCACGCCGCCGCGCTTGCTGACGTCAACCAGATCATTGACGCCGACTGGGCGCCACACCTGCCGCGCGCCACACTTTACGCCGCCCGTGCTCGCATGCTCTTTAACCTTGGTGAGTTTGAGCCCGCTATCGCTGCCACCAAAGCTGTGCTTGCAATGACACCAGGCGATACCGCGACAGACGCGCTCCTCGGTTTGGCGCTCTTTCGCGGAGGCAACACCGCCACTGGCCTTGCTCATCTCCAGAGCCTCGTTGAGCGCGAGCCGACAGCCGGCGACGCCCACCTGTATCTCTCATTCTGTCTCGATGAGCTCTCGCGTGACGACGAAGCGCTTGCAGCCTACACCGCCGCTGACGCTACCATCACTGACGACGACACCAAGTGCGAGCTCCTCGCCAACATGGGTAGCCTTCTGGCTTCGCGTGGCCAACTCGACGCCGCTACCGCTGTTCTCGACCGCCTGCTTGACCGCGCCGTCGCCGTTGATGGGACCACACGCGCAGGGTTGCCGCGTGCTACTCTCGCTCGCGCGCTTGCCACCCGTGCCTCTGTCTGGCTGGCCCGCGGAGACGTCGACGCCGCCGCCAACGATATTGCCGCCGCCGCCCACCATGCCCCCCTCGATCCGGACGTTCTCAACACCCGCGCGCTCGTCCTCATCCAGCGCGGTGACACCACTGGAGCACTTGACCTGCTGGTCACTGCGCGTGAGAGCACGGATCCCGACTCGTCGCTCGCCGTCACTGCCACGTACAACACCGGTCTGGTACTGCTGCTACAGTCGCGACCGGGAGCGGCACTCGAGGTCCTCGACACGTTGGTGGAAGATCAGACCATTGGCGACTCCGGCCTTCTCGCCGCTGTCCATACCAATCGTGCGCAGTGCATGCTATTGCTGGGCGAAACTAGTGCTGCCATTACCGCCCTCGACGCCGCACTTCAGATTAACCCACGCTACCCGCCGGCGCTCATCGGGCGCGCCATTGTGGCGCTACAGACCCGGCAGCTCGGCCATGCAGCGGCGACTGCCTCGCGCGCTGCAGCTGCGCTCCGCGGCCAGCCGGAGAGCAGCGCCACGAGTGCACTGCCGCTCGCTGGGCTGGGGTCAAGCACGGATGTGCTCAACCGATCCGCCGCAGTAGCAAGCCTCGGCCCGGCCCGCAGCCTCTCGATGACCGACCAGGTCGAGGCGCTGGAGGCTGTCATCGCCACTTGGCGGCGGTTTTACGACGTCGTCTTTGCTGACTTTGAGCGTGCCGCGAAAGTCAACCCGCGCCACGCTGACCTTGATCGCACCCGCCTCACGCTCCACACCCAGTGGCGGTTTCTTGCGCCGCCGCCGCCGTCGGGTACCGAGGCACACACCGTGTATCTCGCCGAGCTGGCGCACATCAACATGGTGATCCACGGCCGCGACGGCGACGCTCCGCACAACTTTCCACGCTGGAGGCTTTTTCTCATCCGCGCGGCAGTACTCCAGGCGCTCGGCCTCTTCTCCGAGTCGGAGAGCGACTTGTTCTACGCCCAGACCATGCTCGGCGCCGACCGTGTTCCTCCAGGTCTGTACTTGCTGCGGGCGCGAGCGCTGCATGTCCGCGGGCGAATGATGGAGGCCGGCGATGCGATCATGCTAGCGCTCGCGTGCTGGCGATCTAGTGCCACCGTACTCTGCTTTGATCCGGAGGCCTCGGCCGGTGAGCTGGAGGCTCACTCGGCGCGGACTCGCGCTGAGCTTGCGTGGTACGGTGCTGTGCTGGTCGCGAGTGAGACCAAGATCGGCGACGTTGCCGGCTACGACCTTGCGGTCCAGCTCATCGACACTGCTCTCGATGGCTTGCCAGAGGCCCGACTTGTCCTGCTGTGCAACAAGGTGGCACTCGCACAGCAACACGCCCACGTCGACGTGGCGCTCGAGGCGTACCTCGCTCTGCTTCGGGCCATGATCGACGAGGAGACGCCCGGTTCGGCGCTTGCCGACGCTCACATAGCACTCGCAGATGTCTTTGACGCGTACCTTGTGCTCGTTGAGCATCTTGAGGCGCTGGCCGGCTTTGAGCGCGAGACCACGCTCGACACATTTGGGCCCGGCACGCTCGACGCCACGCTCGACGCGCTCTTTGCCGCCCAGCGAGTGGTCGACGCCGCCATCCATCAGCTCCATCGCGCGCTTGACTACGATGTCTGGTACACCGACGAGGTTGCTGCTGCCGAAACTGCCGCCTGCCATGCCCAGTTTCAGGCCCGCGCCACGGCCTACTCCCACTTTCTCGCCCATGCCCCCCGCGAGCACATTGAGGCGAGTGTCATCCGCGGCGACTCTGAGCTCGAGACTGCCGTCAAGGCAGCGCTCACTACAGTCATCGCCACCATGCACAAAACTGCCCGCGACGGTTGGCGTCAGAAGAGCCCGAGCCATTCGCCGATGTGCGGTTAAACACCTCTGCTCCGCGCCGCCAGCCGCCGCTCGTAGCGTCGCCACAGCTGCCTGTCCACCTCCTGCCTCGCCCCGCCTCGCCCCGCCTCGCCCCGCCTCGCCCCGCCCCCCACCTCACGCCGCCACCATTCACAGCATGCTCATTGGCAAGTTTGATGTGTATGTGGAGAGCAACGCGGTGGTACTCGTAGAGAGGCGGAGAGGGCGTGCTGGTCGGCATGGGAGCACCGGGCTTGCCGCCGCTACTCCGGGCAGAGCCGATGACGACCAGAGCAGTCATGTCCATCACAACACCATTGACGACGGGCATGCCGACCACAGCCATGATACTGCCGTGACCGGATCCGCGCGGGATGATGCGGCCGCGACTGGGCCTGCACAAGATGACGACACCGGTTGCGCTGTGTATGTCTCGCGGGAGGACGGGAGTGTGCGGGTTCTGCAACAGCGGCCCGAGGTGGGGAATCGAGTGGCGGCCATGACGTGCTTGGCGGTGGTAGGGCTAGTGCCTACTCCGCTCCACACACTGCTGGTCATGGTGGCCGAGGCGAAGCATGTGGGGACACTGCTCGGCGCCCATCACGTGTATGCTGTTGAGCGGGTTGTCGTCCTCCCGGTCGGTCCGCCGCAGATCGCCTTCTCGGGCTCAACCAAGCAAGCCGCGCGCATCGAGGCCGAGGTCAAGAAAGTCCTCGAGTCTGGCGGTGTGTACTACTCGCACACCTACGACCTCTCGCTCCGGTTGGAGGCCGCTGTCCGCTTTGGCTTTCAGCCGCACGCCGGCGACGCAAGCGCCAACCGGTCGGTCTCGTGGAAGGTGTGCCATCCCGAAATGGTGTGGAACTTTGCTGCGACGGCGGTGTTTCGTGAGGCTGGCGCCGACCGCTGGATTGTGCCCATGATCCACGGCTTTGTCGGTTTTGTTGTTGGCACCAAGATCGGCTCGGCGTGGGTCGACCTCGCTCTCATCTCGCGGCGGTCAACAAACCGGGCCGGCGTCCGCTACCACCGCCGCGGCATCGACGACAACGGCCATGTCGCAAACGCCGTCGAGACCGAGCAGGTTGTCCACGTCAACGCGGCAAACAGGGTCGGCGCCGCCGCCGACGACCAGGCCCACGTCTTCTCCTTTGTTCTCCTCCGTGGCTCCATCCCGCTGTTCTGGACTCAGGGTGGGCCGGGCGACGACTCGCTCAAGCCCAAGGCCCGTCTGGCCCGGACGCTGCTCGAGTCGTACGAGGCCATGCGCCACCACTTTGACGACCTCACTCGCGAGTACGGCCGCGTCGCCACTGTCAATCTTGTCAACAAGGGCGGCCATGAGGGCGGTGTCGGCAGCGCGTTCGAGACCCTCCTCGCTGAGCTCCCAGGCAACGAATCCTGGCTTGCTGCACAGCTCTGGTTTGACTTTCATGACCGCGGCTTTGACGCCATCCCGTCGGACGTCATCGGTCCGCTCGATAGCATCCTGCTCGAAATGGGCTACACTTGGGCGCTGCCGGATCCGCAGCTGCCACTCTGCTCGTCACAAGCCGGAGTCATTCGCGTCAACTGTATGGACTGTCTCGACAGAACCAATGTTGTCCAGTCGCTCCTCGCCAAGCACGTCCTCGCCCTCCAGCTTGCGCGCATTGGCATCGAGTGGGGCACGTTGAGCAGCAGCTCTGGATCTACTGCCGGAGCCGCCGGAGCCTCCTTCGCTGATCCGTCGCCGCCACCGCGCCCGGCCTCGACGGTCCCGCCGCCGTCCAAGCCGCTACCGCGGCTGCCGGGGAACTCGTCGAGCAAGCCACTGCCGCCGTCGCCGCGGGGAATGCGTAAGACGATGGCTGCATCGGCACCAAACATCCCGCTCGTCGAGGGCTCGTTCCTCGACAAATTCTACGACACATGGACGCAAAACGCCGACGCCATCGCCAAGCAGTACACCGGAACGGGAGCCATGAAGACCAACATGCTCAAGTCCAAGGGCCGCTCGCTCAGGGGCCTTCTCAAGGACGGCATGACCTCGGTCGGACGCATGTACAAGGGCGCGTTCATCGACTCGTACCGCCAGGCCGCCATTGACATGCTGCTCGGCTACCCCTCGCTCCCGCTCGACGAATTGGCGTCGGCGTCGGCCGCCGCCGGTGGCGAGAACGCCGCCCGCCCGGGCGACCCGCCGCCGCTGCTCTCGCTCGCCCTCATCCGCGGCGCCTGCACGCTGCTGGGCTCCTCGCTTGGCAGCGTCCAAGGCTGGGAGCTGAGCGACGCCGCGGGGCGGACCGCTGTTTTGCTCCTCACTCCGACCGGCCTCGGCTTTGCGGCGTACGCCGGCTCGGACGCCGATTTCCGCGCGCCCGAGATTGTGCTTGAGCTCGGTCTCGCTGACCTGGTGAGCGTCCACGGCGAGCCGAACTCTGACAGCTCGCGGTACATGCTCCGACTCACGTTTTCGGGCACACGTGATATCGAGAGCCTCGAGCTGACCGCGCCGGCCCAGATCGTCGCCGAAGGCCTCGGCGCACAGATGCAGTATCTCCAGTCGATTTCGCGGACGTTTGCCGCCGCAGGTGTCCTCACCTCGGAAACCCTCGCCACTGGCGCCGCCGCCGATGCCGCCCGTGCCGCAGCCTCCGGATCAGGCTCGGCCACGTCGGGCTTCTCGTCATCGGTCAAGTCGCTCTTTCGCAAAAAGCCAAAGCTCTCGTTTGCTCGCAGATAGCCGTAAATTTTCGTCTCGAGCACCCACTCGACTTGGTATGAGCCCATCGCCGCGGACTGCCGCCGCCGCGCTCGCCTGCGTTGTCATCTGGATCTTACTCGCCGGTAAATGGGCTGATCAAGAAGAAGCCCATGCCCGCGTCGGTCTCAGCTCGCTCCACGGCAGTCGCGGCGTGAGTAGGGTCAACGCGCACTTAGCACGGGCGCTTAAAGCGTCTGCAGCTGCCACGGACTCGGTCTCGGGCGCGAGTGGCAGTCGACCGCTCATCTCGATCGTCATCACCACCCACAACAACAACCAGCCGTCCAACACAGATGCGAGTGAGACCGAGATCAGCGAGCTGATCGCCTCACTAGTGGGCCAGAGAGTCGGTGGCTTGCGCGCGACGAGCGCGGCGCCGGGCGGGCAGGCGGGCATCGGCTGCGAAGTCATTTTCGTCGACGACGGCTCGGACGACGGGACGGCTGCCGAGCTGGATGGCTCCGTCGAGGCGCTCAAGGCAGCAGGCTATGCCAACGTCGTCGTTGTTCCACGCGGTCTTTCCTGCGGAAGCCCTGCCTGCGGCCGCAACATGGGTGCTGCGCTGGCCGCGGGCGAGTGGCTACTCTGCCTCGACGGCGACGACATGCTGCCCGAGGGCACCATCGGGCGGTATGTGGAGGCGGTGGCGGGGAGCTTGCTGGAGGGCGAAGCAGAGTCGAAGCAGACGAATGTGGTGCTTGGTGGGCATGTGCTGGTGGGGGAGACGGGCTGGGTCGACGAGCTAGGCATCGATCATCGCTGGCGGTGTGAGCCGTACTCGGCGGGCGGCATCTATGCGGCCAACTCGGTCCCGTCGCATGCACTTGTTCATCGCACGCTGTGGCAAGCCGCCGGCGGCTACAACGAGCTCCTTCCCTCACTAGAGGACTGGATTTACTGGTGGGCGGTGCAAGAGGTGGCCGATGTCGCACTCGAGTGCATCGAGGGCAACACGCTGGACTATCGGCAACACGCACGATCGGGCTCGCGCAACGCTGGATCGGTCGACATGGGTCCATACGTGCGGGCAGCGATGGCGACGATGGCACCGACAGCGGTCGGTTACGACGCGGTTGCCGCAGCGGTTGCCCTCCTCCGCACCGCGCCGGCGTCGTTTGAGGCAACGTGGTTCAATCCTCTACTTGTGAGGAGACCGCGCGAGCGTGCTATCCTCCTCTGGAGAGCCCTGGGCCGACTCGGTCGCGGCGATGATGCCGCCGGCCTCGTGGATGCCCTCGCCGCTGTGGCGGGCACCTCGACCGCAGGCCCGCATCTGGGACTTGATCTCCTCGCGCTCGATGTCTACTGCACCGCCCGCGAGAGCCGAGCCGGGACTGGCAGCGAACTCCCGAGATGCTCGCGGGCAGCCGGATATCCGGGCTGGCTGCTGTGGGTCCTATGACAGGTGAAAGGGAGAAGGGGGGGGGGGGGGGTGGGGGCTGCGAGAAAGACAAGGTGTGTAGATGGTTCAATTGTGGAAATGTGGTTGGTGAGGACAGGGGATGGCCAAACTTCCCGGACGGAACTCGCCAAGAGTCGGACCGATCCGGGCGCACCGGCTTTTGACGCCGACTTTGAGTTTTCTCTCAACGGCGACTTTGAGCGGATTCGGATCATTGTGTGGGATGCGTTTTCGAACAAGCATCGGCCAACTTACCTTGGCGAGCTGCTGCTGAGCGAGCGGGCTATGATGGCGAGTCCCGAGGTCAAGGACTGGTTCCCCATCTACCGAAATCCCATGTCGGATGGGGTGCTTGTCACCGGCGAGGTCCTGCTGGACATTCTGTACGAGCCCGAGGCATGTAAGATCTCGGTAACGGTGGCGCGGGCGGTGGACCTGGCAGCGCAGGACACCAACGGGCTCTCGGACCCATATGTCAAGCTTGTGTTCGGCAAGGTGAAGAAGCAGTCCGAGGTGCAAAAGATGACGCTCAACCCGGTGTACAACACCACCTTTGAGCTCAAGATCAAGAAGAGCTCACCGCGGTCGCTGACGCTTTCGTTCTGGGACTGGGACCTGGCGTCTGCTGACGACTTTATGGGCCAGGTCAAGGTCTTTTCCGCGACCTCACCCCGGGCAAGCGCAGCATCCGGTGGTGGCTTCTCCATGGGCGCCCGGCGATTGTGAGCGGGTCGGGCATGGCCGACGAGGCCGATGTCGCCGACGGCTCGGTGGTGGTCCTCGGCGGTCATGCGTCCGAGTGCGGGGCTGGCGGCGGCGACGGGGTCAACTCGTCGTCGGCGTCGGCGTCGGCGCCGCGATCGCCGCAGAACGAGCTCATTTCAGAAGGCCTTTCGGCGTCGGCGGTCGGCTCGATGTTTATGACCTACAAGCTCGATCAGGTGTATGTGATGGATGCGAGCGTGTACATGGGCCTGCAAGCGCTGATGGTGGAGGAGCCGGGGGCGTTTGTGAGTGTGCTGCGGACGCTGGGCAACCAGTCGGAGCTCCTTGCGCGCGAGGTGTATGCCTTCTACCGGCACCACGACCTCGCGGTGGCGCTGCTCAAGGTACTGATGGCGGAGGCTGTGGCAACGACGGCATCAGCGGGCACGCTCTTCCGGTCAAACACGATTGTGACCAAGCTGGTACGCAACTTTATGAAGGATGCCGGACAGAGCTACCTGCGGACGATCATTGTGCCGCTCATCGAGGAGCTTCGCGCGTCGGACATGCCGCTAGAGGTAGACCCGAACCGGCTCGATGCCGACGACGACCTTGAGGCGCACTGGCAGAACCTGCATGTGGTGATGGCCAAGACCATTGCCGTCCTCCTCACCTCGGGCAACACCATCCCGCATTCGATGAAGCGGGTCTTTTCTGAACTCCGCGCCCTGGTGGGCTCCGCGTGGCCCGACGACGAGCATGTGCAGACAACGGCGGTCGGTGGGTTCTTCTTCCTCCGCTTTGTCAATCCAGCCATGCTCACGCCGGCGGTCATGGGCCTCGATGAGATCAACCACCCGTCACCGTCGCAGCGGAGGGCGCAAACGCTGGTGACCAAGACGCTGCAGAACTTGTCCAACATGGTAATGTTTGGAAAGAAGGAGCCTTACATGGACCGGATGAACTCGCTCATTGAGGAGCAGATGCCGTACATGGGCGAGTTTCTCGATTCCATTTCGAGCGAGCTTGCAGCATCCAACGAGCGGACGTTCCCGCTGCCTGTGGTGCCGGGTATCGACGCATCGGTCGGCCGGACGCTCGCCCACATCCACACCTTCCTGGACCGGGCCAGTGATGCCCTGCAGACGCTTGCCGGTGCGCTCAGCGACTCCGAGTCGGATGCAAGTCGTGATGCTGCTTCGGGCGTGAGCCTCGACTTTGTCAACCGCCTTGCAGAGGTGGTCGGCGAGATCTCGGGCGTCCGCGACACGACCGTGGCTGCGGCCGAAGAGGCCGGGCTTGCGCCGACGACGTCCGAGTCGGATGCGAGCTCGCTGTCTCAGATGATGAACCGGCTGGCGGCCGGGGCGGTCTTCTACAAGTACAAGATGTCGAAGAAGCTCTTTACGAACAGCCGCCAGAAGCGGCACGTCTCGGTCGACCTCGACGAGGGCGAGATCGTGGTCAAGGAGGTCGGCTCCAAGAAGCACGCCGACCGCAATCGTATTCCAGTCACTGCGCTCGAAGCCGTCGTCGCCGGCTTCCACACCAAGGTCTTCCTCAAGCACGGCAAGGAAGAGCTCGAGCACCTGTGCTTCTCGCTCGTTACCGAGTCGCGCACGCTCGACCTCGAGTGCTCATCCGAATCGGAGCGCGATGCCTGGGTTGAAGCCTTCGCCGCGCTCCGTGCCACGTATGCGGCGATGATGACGTGCGACGGTGACAACGAGGCCGACGAGTAAAGAGCTGCAGATGATGGTCAGTGAGCTACAAATTGTCAAAGAGCGAGTCTGGGTCGCCAAACTCGTCGTCGACGTCGCCAAAGACCGAGAGCTTGGAGCCGATTGGCGACGAGACATCGCCGATGAGATCCTGCAGTACCGAGGCAGCGTCGATGTCGGACGTCGGTTTGGAAGCGGGCGTAGCGAGACCAGGACTGGCGGCGGTAGCGGTGGGGCGGTGTCGGGCTCAGAGGTGGCGGGCTCGGAAGGAGCGGCGGGCTCGGAAGGAGCGGCGGGGTCGGAAGGAGCGGGCTCGGAAGGGGCTGGCTCGATGTCGACGTCGGCGGCGTCGACGTCATCGGGCTCCGTGTAGTTGATGTCGTGGCGGGCAGGCGGGACGACAATGTCGAGCGGGGCGTCGGGCGAATAGGGCAGGTTGCCGAGAAGGACATCCTTGATCTGTTTCAGGCCTGCAATGGCCATGTAGAGGGTCTCGCGCGAGGGCGGCTCCTTGGTGTGGACCTCGCCTTGGAGGACGGCCACAAGATCGGTGAGTTTTGTGCCGAGCTGGTGGTTGGTTGCGAGGAGGTCAGAGACGTGATCCGAGACGCGCTGCAGGGCGTCGTTGTCGGTGTTTGGGGCCGGCGAGGACGACGAGTTGCCGTTGCGGCGGCGGCGGCGGCGCGGCGACGAGGACGACGCGCCGATGACAGGTGCCGGCGAGGCACCGCCGTGGGCGGTGGCGATGATGGACTTGGCAAAAGTGGAGGCGCCGCCGCGGGCGTGGGAGCGGCCAGAGAGCGGGTCCGCGGCGCGGTCTGCGTCGCGACGGGCGGTGGCAGCAGCAGCAGCAGCAGCATCGATCTCGGCCTTTGAGCGCGAGCGGAGCGGGGTCTTGGAGGTGGCGAGAGCGAGGCCTTGCTCGACAAAGCAGCGAACGTCTTCGACCGGAGGGAACTTCATGAGACGGCGGAGGGTGTAGACGTAGTCGGACTCGAGGAGCTGGTCGCGGAGGTAGACGAGCATAGCGACGCAGATGTGGTCGAGTAGGGCAAGGTCGGGCGAATGAGCAAAGAGGCCGTCCCAGACGATGACGAGGTCGTCGAGGTGGAACTCGCGGCCGAGGAGAAGGCGGGCCCAGCGGAGGGCGTAGAGCTGCGGCTCGACGCCGACGTCGACGAGGTGGTCGTACAGCTCGCGGTCGACGCGCTTGAGCATGCCATCCTGTAGGTTCTGGCACTTGAGGACAATGGGCGAAGGCGGCGGAATAGTGCCGCGCGGGGCATTGGTGACGGCAAACCACGGGCGAGCAGTGTCCATGATGATGTGGAAGAGCTGGTAGGCGTCGGCCTCGAGAGCGGCGTCCGAGGTGGCGTAGATCGGGTCGAGCCAGTCGGGGACGGTGACGGCGTCGCGGTCGCGGTTGTGGGCGAGGACGTAGACAAGCGGGGCGAGGAGCTCGTGCATGCCCTGGCGGTACGACGGATCCGGGTAGGTCTTGGCGTACACAAAGAGCGCATCGAGGAGCAGGCCTTGGATGCGGTCCGAGTGGAAGAACTCCATCTCTGGGTACGTACGGGTCAGATCGCGCTTGATCTCCTCGCGCAGCTCTTCGTTGGCAAAGTAGACGGTCCACAGCGAGTCCTTGTCGTCGGCGAGTGGGTTGTCGGACGTCTTGGACTTGGCCTTGTTTGGATTGACCAGCAACTTGCGCTTCTTGCGAGCGTAGCTCTTGCGCCAGGCCCGAGCCTGGTTCGGCCACTTGTCAGTCTGCGCCGGGTCGAGGACGCCGAGCGCGAGCATCCACACCAGCGACCGGACGGGCGAGACGGTGAGGCCCTCTCGGAGGCAGATGCTCTTGGCCTGGTCGACATTCATGCCGAGCGGGCCACCACCGAGGACGCGATCGACCTCATCTCTGGCAGGGTGGAGAGACGAGGGTGTGGCACGGGAAGATAGCAGCGATGGTGAGGAGGAGGCCATAGCGATTGCGAAGAGACATGGCGAGCAGCACATGCAGATGTTGATGTCATAACCATGCCCACACACAGCCACGAGAGACAGGCAGACAGCCACACCACAACAACGACGACAGCAGTGCACACACACGCACACACACAGTCACACACACACACACACACACACACAGTTACAGTCACACACACACACACAGTCACACACACAGTCACAACCGCATCCAGAGCGCCCCCCCCCCCGTGTCCGTGTGCCCATGCCAGACCAATGGCTCTGTCAGTCACGCGCCAAGAGGTGACCCCCTCCCCCTCCTCCCCTTCTCCCCTCCCCCCTTCCTGCTGACTTCCACACATGCACATGACACATACTGAAGATTGATACGCCCCTGCATGGCCCGGGGGGGGGGGGGGAGAAGTGGTGGTGAAGAGTGGTAGGGAGTGGTAGGAGAGGGGGGGAAGGGGGGGTCTGGCATTGGCAGGCGCGCAAAGTGTGGAAGCCGGGGAACACACGGTGTGGCATGACGACGACAAGGGGAGAAGGGGGAGGGGGGGGGAGGGGGGGGGGGGGAGGGGATGGTTCAAGATCTTGTCATGTGATGGTTGAGACGAGTCGAGAGCGGAGAGATCGGCGACATGAGACGGGAGACCGCCGCGGGAGGGGGTCGGGAAGGGGGAGAGCAAAGAAGGAATAGTGGTAGTGGTATGGGAGTTGCGTCAGATGGCGTTCAGGACTTGGACGATCTCGTCAAATGAAGGACGGGCGTCGGCGTCGGCGTTCCATCCGCGCTCGATGACGGCCTGGATGAGGATGTGCCAGTCGCGCGAGATCGGGCCGGCCCGGATGCCGTGCTCGCAGATTCCGGTGAGCATGTCCATCATGGAGGAGAAGGCATGTTGGGAGAACGGCTCGGTCTTGGCGTAGACCGTCCACACTACCGAGGCGTAAGAAAAGACGTCGCACCGCGACGAGTAGCACCCGCTCGCTACCACCTCGGGTGCGACGTAGAACGGCGAGCCCACAATCGACTGCTCCGCCCGCCGCGACATGGTCTCGCGCGTCTTGGCAAAGCCAAAGTCGGCAATCTTGGGCACAAGGTCTGCCGTGAGGAGCACGTTCTTTGGCTTGAGGTCGCGGTGAACCACTTTGGCAGCATGCAGAGCAGCCATGCCGCTCGCAATGCCGCGCACAAGCTCGAGCTCGTCAAACGCGCGTGCCTCCGGGCCAAACAGCAGACCCGAGAGATCGCCGCCGGCACAGAACTCGGTCACAATCATGACCGGAAGGTCAACCACGGCGCCGATGAACTCGACCACGTTTGGGTGCGACACCCGCGCCATCACTGCAACCTCGTTAAAGAACTCGTCGAGCTCGGCGTGGCTCGGGTCCTCGTTGAGCAGGCTCTTGACCGCCACCTCGCGTCCACCGTACATCCCGCGCGCCACCATGCCAAACGCGCCGGCATCAATCGCCTCGATGACCGTCACGTCTGCCTCACGGAGCACCGTGAACGGGAGCATGTCCAGCTCAGCCCGCGCCGCCGACGACGACAGCCCCTGGCCGCGCCCACCGCCGCCGCCAAGATCAAAGTCGAGCTGCGACGAAGAGGCCTTTCTGCCTGCGGTCAGCCCGCTTCCACTTGACTCCTTCTCCCTGGCCTTGGACCTCGACCGCGACGAGCGCGATGATCTCGACGAGCGGTCCTTACTCTTGGCCTTGCTCTTGCTCTTGCTCTTGCCTCTGTGCTTGTATTTGCTCTTCTCCTTTCCCCGCCGCTTGTGCCGCTTCTTTTCGGACCTGCTTCCACCCTGCGATCCGGCCGACCCGCTTCTGCTGCCGTCGTCCCCGCGCGACGTCGATCCGGCGCCGGCCAACGCACCCGCGGCCGACGACGCCGAGACCGACCTGCCCGAGCCGGACCTGGCCAACGCGCCCGACGCCGTCCCTGTCTCGGACAACAGCTCTACCGCAGAGTCCTGCCCTATACGCTCGAGTGTAAGGTGGTCTGCCATGTCGAGTCGTGTGGCCGTGGTCGTGGCCGTGGCCGTAACGGTGACGGTGGGGGGGGGAGGGAGGGGGGAGGGGGGGGG